TTTCTGTAAGAAAAAAAAAATTATGTTTATTTATAAAGCAGGGAGTGAAGGTGTGCATGATAAAGTTGTATTAGCTTTAGCATTAACGTTAGCCTCCTCAGACTAAAAAACTGCCTTCTGCATGTTGTGCATGTTGAGAATTCTTCAAGTACTAACGTTGCATTGTAATTAAAGTAGCCGCTTTATTTTGAAGTCCTCTTAATGCTGCTCCATGTGAAGAGCAGGTGATATTTGCTCTCGTTTCAGTCTCCAAAAGTCTCCAATAACACCTGCAAGATTTGCCAGTCACAGGTCTGAAAACTAGCTAAATATGGCAACAAAGTGGCTAAGTTTGTAACATGTGTGGCCTGATGCAGTGTGCTGATTGGTCCGTTTGAATATAAGCACTATAAAGTGTAACGGTCCTCTCTTGTCTTCAGTTGGGAAAAGGTTTTTAGATTAGATACCTGTAAAATTAACTTTTTTTCTCATGAAAAACAGATCAAATACTATTTAAGTATTGTAAATAGAACAGTCACCAGATTATCATTTTAATGTTTTTGGGATTATTTAATTTCCTGTAGGTCGATCACATTGTTGTTGTAGCTGTTGTTGACAAACATACATTAGAAAAATAATAGTATGTCCATTATAAACTATGTGGAAATGATTCCATAAAAAGAAACATTGCAAGAGTGCTTTATGGTAGTTTTACGTATTTATTTGTGAGAAAAAACGCAGAAATTACTATTTTCACATATTGATTTATTTACAAATTCACATGAACTTTTTCAATTAATTCATTTGTTACATATTTTTCTTGCCATTGATTTTCCGTGAAGTTTTTTTAAATGTAGAGACTGGATTTTATACAAGTGGTAAATGGACACATGTAATTTGCTAAACTAAATTCTAAATTCAGTCTTCCTTTCGAAGAAATTATAGAATCATAGTATTATGTAGCATTATATTCTAATGCTGAAGTTCATTCAAAGGTTTAGGACAAGTATCCTGTCTAATTCATGGTTTCTAAATAAGGGCGGGAGCATTATGAACGTTTTGGGAAGTGCTGGACACACAAGGGCAGGTACGAATGGGGGTGCCATCATTTGACTTTTACAAAGTTCAATTGAACTCCACATTTTAAGCTTTCATGATTTCCTAAAATAAAGCTGCTGTTTAAAACCAAGAACCACCTGCTTCCACTGCTGTGTTAAAGGGGGAAAACCGTGACGTTGCCCTTGGAAATCTCCCCCCACTCGGACTGGCGACATTTTTTAAGCAGTATGTCGTAATCCTCGTATAGAAAGTTACTGTAAAGGTGTAACTGTGGTTGGTTTGGCCTCCAAACAGTCATATAGAGAGGTATGAATGGTATGATAACACAGAAACAATTTTAGTTTTTTCAGGGTCTTAACCTGTTCAGCAGCTTTTATGTAATATAGGTTCTCATGTCCCTGTTTTTTACTTCAGTCCAGTGCTTTCATTTGATTTCTTTCCTAATTATTGTACAATCAGTTGAGTCTTTACTGACTTTAGTTGTTGGTAGTAATCAGTTAATAAATCAGGCATTACACGTCTTTTTGCTCTGAAAACTACTCAAAACTTTGGGGCTTCACGGTGACGACGAACAGGGACATCTGGTGGCAGAATTAAGTTACAGCAGCTCATTCATAATTCAACCGAAGCTTCAACAGGAAAAAGAGAGAGAGAGTGTCTGGATCATGTCCAGCCTCTTCACTCAGAGGCTTCATGTCAGAGCCTGAGCAGTGTCTCTACAGTACGTTCAGCCTAGAGGAGCCACGGCAAAGAATCTTTAGTGTCAGTAGGAGCTTAGCAGACTTCCTGAACCAGGGATAGCAAAAGGCATAGATAAGTGGGTTCAGACAGGAGTTAAAGTACAACAGCCAGGAATGCAAAGGCACAGCTGTCAAACTAAACTGAAAACTATCCCCTCCAAAGAAAGAGAAGTAATATGGGAAGTAACATGACAGAAAAGTAACAACAACCACTCCTAGGATCCCGGC